CTACTAGTTTTACTTAGACTATCACTAAGGGTTGAATCTTAGGATTCACGATCCATGTGTTCTTTTAATGTCCACTCAGAGCTTCTGCAGAAATCCCCTGTGCACCCAATCACGCTTGGCCAATAAAAAGGATCCTCTCTCTATTCCAAGGCATGAAATAATCCAACCGACTAACCGAAGAGAGGGGGGTTGGACTAGATGACCTGGAGGGGGACCCCTCGCCCTCCAGAATTGCAGCCTTCCCTGGATCCCCCCCCTGGGGCTCCTCTGCTAATTTGACCCCTTCCGGCTCAGCTGTTGTCAGTGCGACTCCCTCGGAATTCCCGCTGATCCGAAAATTGAGTGGTAATTATTGGATTAGAATCCTGGCCCTGTTGAGCATCAACTATCATCCGGGTGCCAGCGGGCACGCGTGAGCCCAGGAAGGGGCTCGCCACACACCAGGCTCCTGTGCCAAAGTGCACCCTTGCCCATCTCTGGAACGATGTCCTATGCCACCAACCCTGGGCACCCCGCTGTAAGCTGGCAGCCTTTCAAAAAACCACCCTGAATTCGTGGAGCTGGGCACAGGCGAGGAGGCTGTGGCTGAGCCACACTGCCAGCCAGCTCCAATTAGTCCCCCTTCGAGCCGATGAAAGGTGCCAACGGTGCCAGCCGCCCAGCCCAGGGGATGCTAATGGCCCCGGGCCATTAGTGGCTCTCAGCAGCTGGCACCCAGGGCTGGGCGGGGTCCATGTTTCCCGAGTGCCTGGCCAGCTCTTCAGCATCGTCATCGTCATCGTCAGCATCGCAACCTCTCCAAAGGGCTTAATGATGCTTGGCAGGTCGTTATCTCTTGGTGTCTCCATGGCTAATGAGTCTGGCAATTAGATCTTCTCCCCCCCCCCCCTCCCACCAATGGAGCAGCAGTGGCTGGGTGCCTGGCGAGCCATCTCTCCCCCCCCTCTTTCTCTTTCACTCTCTCTCTCTCACACACACACACCCACAGACACACTCACTCTGTCTCTCTCTTTCTCTTTCACTCTGTCTCTTTCTTATTTCTTTCTTGCTATTTCGCTCTGTCTCTCTTTTTCTCTCTGTCACCTCTCTTTNGGTTCTAAACGGCACGGTAGATTTGTGGAACCTCTTCTATAGAAGAGGTTAGAACTGGCAGGAACCCACCCCTGGCTCATAATTATGATAACAGTTTTCTGGACGTAAAGCATGATCTCAGATGTGCTTAGGTTTCCATTTAATAAAGGATGGGTTTCACTCTACCTCTTGCAACCTAATAGACTTCAGAGTAATAATGTTTGGCTGACCCAAGCCTAGCAGTCTGCGGAATATTAAATGGATAATTATTAACTATTTTGTCTAAAGCTTACTAGCATTTTTTCTCAATATAATTCATCTGCTCTGGAGACTTTTTTGCCCACATGGAAACTGTAATTTTAGATCATTATGAAAATAATATTTTTTCACCTTTGTTCTATTATTTGATGTGTGAATGCATGTAAAGTGTGCATTCTACTATTCATATATATTAACTAAAGCATGGAACCAGATTTTAAAACTGTTTTTTCATACACAAGGCTTCTACGAATCCAAAGGAAACTAATTGCTGGAATGAAACCTATACCATTATATAAGCAAATTCTTCCTGTGAAACAAATCTTTGAAAAACCCGTTTGAATTGTGATGCTAAACCATAGTAAATGGATGGTTCCTTTGGCCCCAGGGAAAGGAAAAGAAGGGGAAAAAAATTCAATATATTCTGGAAACCTCACTATGCCAGCAGATATATAACATTAGTTGCAGTGGTGAAATTCAAAATTTTTACTACCGATTCTGTGGGTGGGGCTTGGTGGACAGGTCAGGGGAAGGATACTGCAAAATCTCCATTCCCTCCCCACTCCTGGGTGAAGGATATTGCAAAATCTCCATTCCCTCCACACTCTGGGGCCAGCCGGATGTGGTATTTGCCAGTTCTCCGAACTACAAAAAAATTCTGCTACCGGTTCTGTAGAACCTGTCAGAACCTGCTGAATTTCACCCCTGATCAGTTGGTTATGGTCTGGGGTGTCATTGTATGCATGGTTATTCAGAAGACACTACTCAGCTGCAAATATAGTATTGAGTGACAAAAATATGCTCTTCTGTCATTGATGGGAGCAATATATAAGATACATATTTCCTGCACTACATTCCTATGTATCTTTGTTGTACAGGCATTATTATGTTTAGGGAAGAGGCTAGTAAGCATGGATGGATGGACGGACGAATGAATTACATTGGATAAGCAGTTCTGGCTATTGGAGGGTTAACACAAACGCACAGCAAAAACAGGAGGGGGAGATCAAAGGCAGATTATAGGATGAAAAGAAGAAAGAGGAAAGCAGAGAAAGGGAACAGTTGGATAGATGTACTGAAAGTAGATTACATGGAGGGGAGGTGAATCACAGGCCAAATCTGTCATCACAACTTCAGAAATTCTGCTCAGTCTGTTTTTTCCAGCTCTGGAGTGAAGGGAATGAGGACCTCTTCGTGTTTCCAGTAACTGCTTCTTCAAGTCCAAGAGGAGACCATCTCTTGTCTAATAAAAGTGAGTGAGTGCCGTTTACAAGGAGGAAGACAGCTTGTTACAGGGTGGCTTTTCCAGAGCGCTGCAGGTTACACAGAGACAGAAGGAGGGAGTAAATGTTCCTGGAGGGGCCAGATTCAGGAGGCAAGCTCTGCCTACTTTTAGTGGGGAGAATTTCAGCAGGTGTGTTTTCTTCCGTGACAGTTTTATGTTCGGGTGAGGCAAAGAAGAAATAACTCTAATTTGAGGAAGAAAATGATGCAGAGAGCTGCATACCATCTCCAAATAGGGCATGTGGCAATGGAAATGACTGGATGGGTGAAGCTCAGAACCAATCCAGCTGGAGGACCACAGACAAATAAAACTGTATATTCCATTACTTGTCAAAGGAGGTGAATAACGGATAGCAGTTCAGTGCTTTTTGAAGGTGTTTTCTTTAGGTAAGTGGCGCATGGCTGCAGATATGTCAGTATTTTTTTATGCTTTATTAATTTTGCATGGTACTATGCTCTGCTAGTATTATAACACTCTTTATCTTTGACAATTTTCTTTGTTCGCATTTGTAATTTTGTTTGCTGAATGAAATAAATAATAATTTTAATAATAACTTTTGTTTGCTGAATAAAATAAATAATATCTTTGGTCACTCGTTCTGCCAAGGATAACGCTGCAGAGAGTACCAGATCTGTGTATGAACCTTAGAAGCAAATAGAAAGAGTGCGTTTCAAGAGGCTTTATGAGTCTGGAATAAGGCACAAACCTCCGTCACTCAGAAAAATTTCTGACCTTCAGGAAAGCTATGTTAACTAACTTACATTCTTTCCTCAGTGGCTCTGAACAATCTTCCCCAAGTCATACAAACCTTAATTTTATATTTGCATTGGTAGCATAATGGACGTATTAGTCAAATGCCAAAGTATCATTTAAAAAGTCCCGTGGAGTTTATTTTAAATAATCATACACGAATGAAGGCACATATACGTGTCCCAGGATAATGTTGCAGGATCCCAACACCAGGATCAGAGGTGTTGTCTTCTGAGATTTTGGACTTGTGCTGGAGCCGATCCTCAGGGAACTTCTTTCTAGCAGAGTCTGAAAGCTTGGAAGACAAAACCTCTGGTCCTGGTGACCAACCCAGATTGGATCCGGCAATAATCATACAAATTATGTGCTTTCCCATTAATCTTACTTTAGAATACATTATTATCACGCAGATTTTAAGAAATGAAAATATTGCACCCCACCCCACCCAACTGGGATTTAGTAACTTGCAAACGCCAGGTTCTTATCTCTGGCAGAATTTGTTTCTGTTGGTGAAACAAACATAGACAGCTGTGGGATTGTACTCATAATAGCTCCATTGAGGGTCTGTGGTGGTCCCTTGTTTAAGGCAGTGTTTTTCAACCTTTTTTGTGCAAAGGCACACTTTTTTCATGAAAAAAATCACGAGGCACACCACCATTAGAAAATGTTTAAAAAAATTAACTCTGTGCCTATATTGACTATATATAAAGTAATTCTCCCACGGCACNCATCTTCCTCTCTGTGCTCTCAATGTTCCCCTCTCAGCCCTTCAGCAAAGCAGTCTCTCAGTAAGGCATGTCTGTATGTGTTGCTATTCTTACAGAATTTAATCCCAGTCTCCACCTGGAGTAACAACATATAAATCTTATGTTGCATTGAGTTGTAAAATTCTCTTAAAGCACTTTGCCTTTATTGGTGCTTTTTTATATACTCTACGTCAGTGTTTCTCAACCTTGGCAACTTGAAGATGTCCGGACTTCAACTCCCAGAATTCCCCAGCCAGCATTCGCTGGCTGGGGAATTCTGCAAATTGAAGTCCAGACATCTTCAAGTTGCTAAGGTTGAGAAACACTGCTCTACGTCTAAAAATATACTCTAGAATTAAGTACAAATTTACTTTATTTAGAACATTTTTTGTTCTATTCTTTCACCATGGAAGAAAATTGTCATCTTCTTTACTTTCCCAACAACCCAGTGAGGTGGACTGGACTGTCTATATGCCACACAGCTAAGGTTCAATTCAAGGGGGCGCTTTGAATTAACTCCACCATATTTGTTACACACACATACCGACTCCAGGGCCTTGCTACACATAATGTCACTCTCCTTTCCAAACAAAAAGATACAGGCAAGAAAATAATGCTGTACTTTAATCTAAATGGAGGGATGATTTATATGCCACAGACAGATTTGCAGTATGATCCTGCTTGACCCCAAATGACAGGCTTTAAAATGGTATTGTTACTGAGTTATTTATTCAAAAATGAGCAAACTGTTCTTTTGTATAAATCCTAAACTGTCTTTGTGTATAGGACAGACATGGAGACAAAAGAGTCGAGGAATATCCTTCATTTTACAAAGGAAAAATGACACCCTGATGGGATGTGTCAGTTCAATCCCAGGCAGATGAAAATAATGACTACTTAGAAAATGAAAATAATGAAAATAACTAGTTAGCCAGTGACAGGAAATATAGGTAAAGGTAAAATTACTCAATGACAAGGGCTTATAAGAGTGGTGGGTTTCAATTTTTTTTAGAACCTCTTCTGTGGGTGTGGCCTGCTTTGTGGGTGTGGTTTGCCAGCCATGTGACCGGGTGGGAGTGGCTTGCCAGTTATGTGATCGAGTGGGAGTGGCTTGCCAGCTATGTGACTGGGTGGGCATGGCCAATTTGTAAAATGTAGTGAAACTCAGTTAACAATGCTCTTGCTTAGCAACCAAAATATTGGCTGAGAAACTCTGGCATTTGAAGCACGCAAGTCTTAAAGCTGTCAAGTTACAAGACCCTTGCACCTCTAACCTTTTAGAAAAAAAAACCCAGGGGTATTCAAACTTGACAGCTTTAAGACTTGTGGACTTCAACTCCCAGAATTCCTCCTCTCGCTCTTCATNTTTTCTTTTCTTTTCATCCATACATTATGAGCCAGGGCTCCTATAATTCCCATGATTGAGAGACATCCAAAGTCCAGTTTTTCATAGGGATACCCTTTGACATGCCTTTATGTAAGATGGAGGACCTGCTCCAAAACCTGGCAATTTGTACAGGCTAACAAAGAAAGAAAAAGAAAGAAATTTAACAGCTATGAAGAAAATGGCTGGATAAAAGAGGGAAGCCAGAAGTTTTTATCTTGACCTCGTAAAAAGAAAGAAGTTTTGAACTCACACCCTGAGTAATGGAGAAGGAGGAGCTTTATAGCTCGAAATCACCACTAAACTAGCATATTTAGTGTAGGCATCTAAAAGATATTGGTTGGATAAATGAAATATACTAAGCTGTGGTTTATTTTAATGATGGTTTATTGAATAAACCACAGTGGCTAGATTCAGACATGACACTGCAACAAACCATACCTTACAAACTGCAGTGGCTGGATTTCAACAGTATACAAAGCCCAACCATGCAAACTCATGATGCAGAAGAAGGATACAGTGACCTTCAAAAACAAATCCCAGGGCCAGCTGACCAAGATGTCCAATTCAAGCCCCAGAGTCCACCATATCATCATCCAATGCTGTGGATGGGTGCCAACATTCCCGCCCACGCCATTCAGATTTATAGGTTTGCGTGTTGATCGAAGCCGCTGTGTTTAGTTTTTGCGGATCCTATTGTCATATTTCTATTCTTCCTCCACTCCTCTGTATTTATGGGGACATTTTGTCATCCATAAATACATTTCAACCAAAGGTTATTTTCTCCCTACCTGTACGCTGATTTAAGAAAAGCTTAACCTGTTGAATGCATCTGTCAGATGTCTGCAAAACAAAGCAGGAAAGCAGCAGTGGAGAGAAGCAGTTGCCTCCGTAGCTGGCTTTTCATTCACAAGTGGTGTTGTTCTGGGTACAGAATACTTTCCTCAAGACAGTATGAGTGGTCCCCACTTCTGTCTTTTAGCCACTAAATAAATTCTGGGCATTACATAAATTCTAGCTTTATTTACCAAGAGAGATCTTCATCTATTACTAGTTTTGTATTTTACACACTTAAATTTTGTCTGTACCTTTCTTAATGCATCCATTTTCTATATGCAGTATCTTTGCTTTGAGAAAAGCAGGCATTTGATGCACTTAAGTTGAAACTAAAAAGCATTTGGGATTTGTGTATTTATAGATAGATAGATAGATAGATAGATAGATAGATAGATAGATAGATACATAGATAGATAGATAGATAGATAGATAGATAGATAGATAGATAGAACGAACATGATTGCATGCAAACAGAGACATGATAAAGCAAAAAAGATTCTCTGATTTTGATATTAAGACAGGAACTTCTTTGCACACATTTGTCTTTTGCCTGTGGTTGTTTCCTACTCAGATCTCACCAGCTGTTTTGTTGATAAGCAACATACAGAATCATTAAATACTCAAACAAATTGTAATGTTTGTAATTGTTTTATCTCATTTTAATCCTGTTTATTGCATGCAGTCACTTGTTGAGATGGGCAGCTGTATACAGGTAGCCCTCCTCTACAACTATTTATTTAGTGATCATTCAAAGTTACAACAACATGAAAAAAGTGATTTATCACTGCTTTTCAAACTTATAATTGTTGCAGCATCCATATGGACACATGTTCAGAATTTGGATGCTTGGCAGCTGGCATATATTTATGATGGCTGCAATATCCCGGAGCCAATTTTTGTGACCTTCTGACAAGCAAAGTCAATGGGGACGTCAGATTCACTTTACAACCATGTTACCTACTTAACAACTGCAGAGATTCACTTAACAATTGTGGCAAGAAAGGTCATAAAAAGGTCAAAAAACTTCACTTAACTCTCTTGCTTAGCAATAGAAATTTGGGGCTTAATTGTGGTTATAAGTTGAGGATTACTTGTCAGTTGAATAAAGTAATAAAATAATATGCCAGTCCTCATCAGATTCCCAGTTGTTTTGTATAGTTCAGGAGTGTGGAATTGCTTCCATTTGCTGTTTCAGGTTGCAAATATTTTTGCTCTGCTTATTTGAAACTATGGCTGCTGTGTATAGATTTACCTCTGAAAATATTAAACACAAACATGGAGAGAGAGAGAGAGAGAGAGAGAGAGAGAGAGAGAGAGAGAGAGAGAGAGAGAGACACTAATTTAGAACAAGTATATAATCCTTGTTCCAAGCAGCTTATAATGTAAAGTTTAACACAAATGTTAAATGTTGGGCAAGATGTGCATACAGCATATTTAGTTCTTAATGGGACAAAGTTTGGCAGGGATGGACAAGCTTTGGATCACTGTAGAGCTGAAGGAGATTGCCTTGGAGAAGCAAGATA